CCTGCCACCCCCACACCCCCTGCCCTCCCCGCCGTGCCTTAAAGCCGGGCTCGCCCGCCCCGAGGAATCAGCACCCACAGCCCTCACAAGCCAGCAGGATGGTTCTAAGAACAGCTGCTGCTCACACCTGGCAAACGAGGCAACAAGGAGCATTTGGGCCGCTGGGCAGGAAGGAGCATCTGGGCCGTGGTCTCAATCCCAGCGCTGACACAGCCCCGAGGCCGCTCCAAAGCCTGCCGAGGTCACTGCGTCTGATCCTGCAAGTGGATGTTGCATCCTTCCATCGGACTCTGACTTTCCATCAAGGGAAATTCTTTATTTGCTCCACTTTTCTCCTGCTGAATCCCTGGAGTAGCAGAGCAACCAGGTCTTTAAACTTGTCTCCTCTCCATCGCTCAGAGGCTCAGGATCTGAGGCAGTGAGTTGCTGGCTCATGCCCAGCAGAAGGTTATCTAGGGATACTACCTACCTGCCCTGACAGCATTGCTGCTGCCTGACCAAAAAGCTGGTTAGATTGCATTTTGAGGGCAGGAAGGTTTGTTTTTACGGTTTATGAAATGTCCAGTAGTTAAAATGTTTATAGAAACACACACATAAATAAAGTGGGTAAAAAAAAAAAATGTAATGCTGTGGATTTGCAGGTTGCTTTTTTCTTGCCATGACTCTGCCTGTTTCCAGTTCTAACTTGTCAGGTAGAAATACTTGCTTTTTTTCTCATCCATTCAGGATTGGACAACACAATTTTAACAGGGCTTCAGGAAAATCAGTGTTTCCTAACCAAGAACTTTTTGTCATGCACATGTTTCAGGTTAGAATTAAAGCCTCTCCCACAGTCACCATGCACTCATTAACAACTGCTCTGGAATGAGTCCAGAAGCTGCCTGTGTTGGTCTGGGTGACGATCAGTCACAAGACTGTGGCAGTGACTCCTCGGGTCCTTGCTCCAGGGTGGCAATCTGGTGCTACCAGGGACATGTCAGGGAGGCTTCTGGGGCTGAAAGGAGCCAGTTCTCACTGAAATTGAAGAAGCAATAGAGTCCTCCAGATAATAAGATGCTGAAAAGTCAGGAGCTGAGGACAAGGATCAAACCTTTGAAAAATGTCACTAGGCCTCATCTTTATTAA